TCCTAGGAACTAGTTTTGGCGAGTGGGTCAGAGTGCACGGATCAACCGTGCGATTCATGCCTTGAATATTCCGCGGAACACACTTATTAGTATAGTGCAGGAAGAACTGTTAAGCGCATGTTTTCAGTGTACTAGCGTGAGCACATGACGAGCGATGCCGTTAATGTTTGTTCTTTTCCATTTATCTCCCCCTCTCTCTTTACTGTCTCGCTCCACTTGCTCTGCGGCGTGGCAGTGTGAGATGACGGCGTGGGTGAGTCCGAGCGCCATATTCATGTGTGTCAGAATGTTATAATTGTCTAGCCTGCAGTGGGGTACTCTATAGTGAGTACAGCCCAATTAGGGTTTGCTATATGTATCCAACTGCTTGCTAGTGAACATCCTCCTTTCTTCATTCTTACTTTCTACTGCTAGTTCTGACATGCTATCAGAGCAGGTCGACCCTCCTGGGTCGATCCTGTGGGTAGGCCCACCACCTCACTGCTTCCGCTGCTACTGCTACTCTGTGTGTTGCACGCCCCGTGGCGTGCGACGGATTTTTCATCCCGCCGCGCGCTCGGAGCGTGCGGCGGTTTTCTGCCCGCCGTGCGCCCCGAGGCGCGCGGCGGTTTTCTGCCCGCCGTGCGCCCCGAGGCGCGCGGCGGCTTTCTGCCCCGTCACTCCGCGCGTCGCTCCCGGGAGGCGCTGCGACGGGCGACGGGGACCCGCGCGTCGCCCCCCGTCGCCCGTCGCGGCCTGCGCGACCTGCGTAGGGCCCGCGCGCGGCCCGTACAGCCTGCGCGCGGCCCGTACGGGCTGCGCCAGGCCCGCGCGCGGCCCGTACGGGCTGCGCCAGGCCCGCGCGCGGCCCGTACAGGCAGCGCCAGGCCCGCGCGCGGCCCGTACGGACTGCGCCAGGCCAGGGCGCGCCTCGGGCCGCCCGCACGCGGTTCGTACGGGCTGCGCCAGGCCCGTTGGCGCCCTGTTTTCTCTGCCCCTGCGCTGCCCGCTGTCCCCCGTGCTTCTGACGGCGCCCCACCCCTGCTGCTGCCCGTTCTCCTGAATTAGGGTTTGGGGGTGCAGTTTCTGTGCGTCGTCCCCTGCTCCTCCTCCTCCTCCGTCTCCCAGTGCTGCAGCTGCCGCTGAGGGGGGTGGGTGTGTGGGAGCCGAAGGAGTGGTACTAGGGGGGTGACGTGCAAGTGGAGTTAGGAGTGAAGCAGTGGGTGTGTGGGGGTGTGTGGGACAGTTGGAGGAGGTTGAGCGGAGGCTGCTGTCTTGTCGTCCGCAGCACCTGTAGTCCGGGGCGCACTGTCCTGGTAGCCCAGAGAGTCTGCTGCGCCTGTCGCCCGAGGGTCCGTTGCTCCTGTAGCTCCTCGTAGCCCGTGAGCCAGTTACTCCAATAGTCCGGGGCGCACTGTCCCGGTAGCCACTGTGCCAGCAGCTCCTGTTGCCCGTGTGTCTGCAGCTTCAGCCGCCGTCTCTCATCTTCTCTCCTCTCACAGTCCCTCCTCCTCCTCACTTGCCCGCTGTGACTACCACTAGCTTTGCTTATAATTGTGAACTATTACTATACTTGCTTGTTGTGCTGATTACACCCCACTTTGGCTATGGGGGTGTGTCAGAATGTTATAATTGTCTAGCCTGCAGTGGGGTACTCTATAGTGAGTACAGCCCAATTAGGGTTTGCTATATGTATCCAACTGCTTGCTAGTGAACATCCTCCTTTCTTCATTCTTACTTCCTACTGCTAGTTTTGACAATGTGGACCAACGCCAACACCACCAAGCTCAGCCAGCAGACGCGATGCCCCAAGGTACGAGAAATCTGACGCAATCTGACACGATCTGACACGATCTGGCACGATCTGACGCGATCTGACGCGACCTGACGCGATCTCCTAAGAGACTGATACGATGCTTCAGATGTACACCATGCGCGTATGGGCGGACGCGGTTCATGTGACCGACGCCCCTCGGAGGGGCGGAGACTTCAATTTAAAAGTCGCTTCAGGCGTCTCGCGCTTCTCATCTCATGTGCCTCTAAGAGACGAAACTGCGCACTCGCAACACCTGCTGCACTCACGTGTGGTCACTCACGCACTCGTACCCTTGGTCCGTGGATCCTTACCCCTCTCCTGCGCTCAGAAAAAGCTCGATGATTTCAAGGCAGCGTTGGAGGAGGCTCAGGAGGTTGACAGCAGGACCAAGGGGAAGTCGGCTGGGTGCACTGGAACAGCAGGAGGGCTAGCTGCTAACGCCGCCTCAGCACCTGTAAGCAACCCATGGCTTGAGCTCCTGTTCTCCCACCTCTCACTCACCTCGTCCTCTCTCCCTTCTCCCGTCCCTCCCAGCAGCACCCTGCCTGGACCACAGAGGAGTCTCTCCCTCCCCTAATCCCTCCGTCTCTCTGCACTTCCAGCAGCCTCAGCATCATGGCGCTCTGCACGGCTGTGGCAGGTACAGGTAAGGGCATGGGGGTGAAGTGTGGGGTGGGTTGGTGGGGAGCATGGGAGCAAGCGGGGAGTTCACTGCCACGGGGGCAGCATCACCTGGGGTGGGTGAGTGAGGGGAAAAGGGTTGAGTCCCCTAGGGTGGGTGAGTGAGGGGAAAAGGACTGAGTCCCCTAGGGTGGGTGAGTGAGGGGCAAGGGGCCACGTCCCCTTGGGTGGGTGAGTGAGGGGAAAGGGGCTGAGTCCCCTAGGGTGGGTGAGTGAGGGGAAAGGGGCCGAGTCCCCTAGGGTGGTTGAGTGAGGGGAAAGGGGGCGAGAGGTGAGGTAAGATGAGTATGGGTTGGTGGGGGTAGGTTGTTGGGTGTGTGGATAGGTGTTGCGGGTTGGGGTTGGCTGTGTGGCTGAGGGTGGCTGGGATTCTGTGGGTGGGTGGGTATTTCTGCGTGGGTGTATGGGTGATTTTGGGTAGGTGAGTTGGTGCATGGTTGGGGGTTGGGTGTGTGGCTTGGGTGGATGGTTCTGGGTTGGTGGGTAGGTGTATGGTTGGGGGCTGGGTGTGTGGCTTGGGTGGATGGTTCTGGGTTGGTGGGTAGGTGTATGGTTGGGGGCCGGGTGTGTGGCTTGGGTGGATGGTTCTGGGTTGGTGGGTAGGTGTATGGTTGGGGGCTGGGTGTGTGGCTTGGGTGGATGGTTCTGGGTTGGTGGGTAGGTGTATGGTTGGGGGCTGGGTGTGTGGCTTGGGTGGATGGTTCTGGGTTGGTGGGTAGGTGTATGGTTGGGGGTTGGGTGTGTGGGTTGTATGGGTGCTGGATTGTTGGGGATGGGTGGATGGGTGGGTGTGAGTGTCTGGCTGGGTGTTTTGAGGGGGTGGGTGGTGGGTGGTTGGGTTGGGGTGGTTGGGTGGGTCTGTGGTTGAGTGAATGGGTGTTTGGGTGGGTGGGCAGGGTGGGGGGCTGAATTCCCCAGGTTAAGTGAATTGAGAGAGCGAGGACAATGGGGAGTTGAAACCCCAGGGTGATTTGAGTGAGGGGCAATGGTGGGGGCAATATGTTGTGTGTTCTGAATGTGTGTGTGTTCTGAATGTGTTGTGTGTTTTGGATGTGTTGTGTGTTCTGGATGGTTGGTTTTTTGCTCACGAGTGGGAAGTGTGGTGTGAGTGGTGAGAGTGGTGGTGGTGGTGAGCGCCTTCACACCCTACTGCTGCCCCTTTTGTGTGTGAAATGGCAATGCCATGGTGTGGCATGGCATCTGCAGAGAAAGGACGATGGGTCGAGGAGTTTGGCGGATTTGGCACTTCATGTATTTTTTTATTTCGCCACACTCCAACAGTTTTATGCTCGTATGGTACCGAATATATATATATATATTGTTGCATATGCACAAGAACCTCGCATTCTATGCGCTAACTATGGTAATCACGTGGCTCAACAGAAAGGGAGATTCCAATGCATTTCTTAATGACATGCTCCTTCATGTCTGGCTCTGTTTCTTGATGTCTTTTCGTGCTGATCCTCCTTTTCCGCCTCGTGTAGGCTCTTATTTGTTTTCTCCCTTTACTACCATGATGCAAACTTCATTTACTAACCACAAATGAATGACCAATCCGGATGCAATCATATAACAGTGATCTGTTAGTTGTACAGCAAAGAAACAGGTTTTTGTGTGATAGCCATGTCTCTTAGAGAAGCCTATCTATACTGAAATTGACGTTGGTGGAATGAACTACAGTAGCCTGGTTGGATTGAAAAGAGCTTCTCGTGCGAATCCCACCCAAGTTGTAAGCCTCACGCGTCCCACGCGTACACTGGGGTCGCTGAACGACGCGGAAGAAGTGGTCGTTTCTCCTAACCCTGAAAATTTCGGAGGGGTGCACGCACTTTGTGCTAGGTTGGATTGGTTTGTGGGTTGTACAGATTAGGACCGCCACCCGCGTTTGTTCGTTTGGTTCTGTCGCTGGCACTGATTCACCCACGGATGCGGTAACGGAAGGAAACCCCACATTACAAAATGAAAAGACCACCCTTTCCATCGTCTCATACTGACTTTGTCGTTTACGATGATCTTTACCAGTGCCACACAAGAAATGGTTGACGCGGTACAGAATCGGGTTCCTTGGCCCTCAGGGTCGTTTTAACGAGGTTGGAGACGGTACTGTACGTCTTATGAGAGGCTACGGTCTGATACAGTACGGTACCTTGCGATGGTGGAGAGTCAATATTGGACTCGGGACCTTCGATCCTTGACACGACAATGGCTACAGTTCTTGTACAGAGTACTCGTCGGGAGAGTGATCTCCTCAGACAACGGGATGGGTCGGGTGGGGGGGGGGTTGGGGTTGGGGGAGGAGAGGTGTGCTCATTCGTTAGCTGAAATAGTAGCCACGCACTAAGCTTTCGACTTCCTTGCGAAATCCTGGACGACAACGCGAGAGTCCTGCATTACCCTGACCCCAGTTTTCAGCCTATCTCCGATCTTCCCGATGCCGTAAACCTATAGTGCTCCCTCCATCACCCAGCAGGTTATCTCGTGTCAACGTCGCACTTCCGTCTCCCAAAACGCCACCATTATCAAGATGGCTCCCTTTATGACCAAGCTCTCACTCCTCTGGCGTCCCTCCCGCACCAACGCGGGGAGCACAGCCAAGTCGCCGCGTTCCACGGACAAATCATTTCCTGCCGAGCCAAGAGTAGCCCGCAGCTCCACCTCTCCAGCGTCGATACTGCACACCAGATTCACCGCAGATCCGCCAGAAGCCGCCTCAATAGAAGCATCAGACACCCAAGCTTCGCACGCGACCGAGCAGTGTCCGGATAGTTGCTGCATCGTCCCTGCCACGCCGAGGGAGAGTCTCAACGAGCCCGCGCACGGAATAAGCAGCAGCGGCGTTCGCGGCGAGAATGGCTACAGCATGGCGCGCCTGGCTGATGGATTATTCGGCAGCTGCAGCGTGACTAGAAGGGGTCACACCATCAGCTTCGGCAGCAACGGCGCCCTATCCTTGGATGTCGAACAGTCGCTGCATGATAACGACGACTTCCCGTCGCGTCCTGCTGACATAGACGAGGCAGAGCCGTGCAATAGTCTCGACAATGATCGCGACCTCGAGTCGCCATATCCGACCGCCATTATTCATCGCAGCAGCACCGGCGGCAGCAGCTCCGTCGACACCGTCACGTGCGCCGCCGTCACTCTCGCGATCCCTAGTAATAAGCCCGCGAACGGCGGAAGTGTGGGCGATAGTGCGCCGTTATCGCCGTCGCTGGGCAACGGTTCGATGTCGCCACCGCCCGCCACGGCCTTCATTAGCAGCACCCCCTCCGGCGGCTCCGCGAGTGCTCGCACGCCCCGCCTGCGCGTGTCGTTCGCGCCGTTGCGCGTGGATGACCAGAGCGCTGATAGGCATGCGGAGGTTGCGGCGGAGGCCGAATCGGGGAAAGGCGGAAGGCGGAGGAACGCAGCGGCGGGGCCGGAGGAGGGGGAGACAGCGAGTGTTTCAGGCGCAGTGGCTGGCGAGGGGGGTCGAAGTTGGGAAAGCCAAGGATGCGGGGAAAGGGCGGGCGGGAGGAGAGATTTGTTGGGGGAGCTGGCGGGTTGGGCGGGGAAGGGGGCGGGCGATCGGGCGACACACGAGGGCTACGACGAGTGCGCAGAAGCGACGGGTAGCGGATTCGAATCGCAAGGGACGAAGGCCGACGGGCGCGCGGAGGGAGGACCGCGCGGAACAACAGAACAACCGCCAGGCCCGCAAGCCAAATCCGCGCAGCAAGGATCGTCGCGGCAGGGTAACAAGGGGGCCCCGCGGGCGGTAGTGGGGGAGCGGCGCAAGGGGCGGCGGTTCGAGCACATGGTGGTGACCATTCCGGACCGGGAAGAGTACCCCGCTTTCTCCGGCGCGCGGTCGGCGACCGGGGGAAAGAGAATCGCGGAGGGCAGGATGGATGGCGAATCGGGTGGGCCGGCTGGTAAGGAGCGAGGAACGAGGGACGGTCCTGCATCGGTGAGAGGAAACGGAGGAGCGGGAGGAAGGGGAGGGCGGGGAGGAGGAGAGAGAGCGCCTAGCGAGGTTCCTGGGTCGTTCTCGTTTAATGCGGGCGACGATCGCGGCGAGCCCTGCCTGGAGCGCAACATTACGTGGACCGCGGGCGGTGGTAGCAGCAGAGGCGGGGGGAACGGCGGGAAGAGCGGGCAGGGGGAGGGCTCGTTCGCGCAGAGGGCAGCAGTGACGAGGAGGGAAGAGTGGGGAGCGGAGGGGCGGCGGGGGCCAGACGGCGGCGCGGAGTGGCAGGCGGGCGAGGAGAGGAGCCGCAGCGGGAGAATGGCATCAGATCCGCAGCTGAACAAGGCCAAGACCCTCTCGGGACCGCTCACCGTATCGCGCCGAGCAATGGTGGCGATCGCTCCTAGAGGCGCGGGGGAAGGCAGGAGCCGCGCCGCCCCTGTAGCCCCCACCCCGCGTTCCGCCAAAGGGGTCCCAACCCCGCGCGCGCGGCAAGAAGTGAGTCCGCCGTGGGCGCTGAACAGCCCGCACGCCTCGCGCTCGTTCACTGACCGCCCCGGGCCTAGCCCCGCGCGCGCATGCTCGTCCCCGCGCTCCCGCTCCTTCAAGGAGTTGCCACCTGGAAGAGGCGCGCCTCCCGCCATTCCCCCGTCCCCGCGCGCGCCTAAGGGCGGGGGCCCGGGTGCGTCCAGCAACGCGTTGTCCCCGCGGTCGCCCCCCGGCTGGTCTTCCGCCTCGGCTGCGCCTGCAGCGCGTGATGCGCCTCTTGCTGCCATGACGCCCCGCTCCGCGCGAGCGGGCGGAGGCGCGGGGGCTGCGGGCAATGGGGGGGGAAGTGCGGGGTCGCGGAAGCAGCAGAGGGGGGCGGAGGAGAGGGAGAGGCGGAGAGATGAGAAGGAGGAGCAGAAGATGGCACAGGCAATGCGAATCATGGAAAAGCTGCGGAGTGAGGCGAATGGGGGGGAGGGGGAGAAGGAGGGGGAAGAAGGGAGGGAGGGGTTCGAGGCGGAGGAAGAGGAGGGGGAAGAATGGGAGGTGAGGTCTGTGAGCAGTATGAGGAGCAGAGGTGGTGCAGGGCAGAGGGACATGCAGCGCCAGGCACTGCTGCAGCAGCTGCAAGCGCAGCAGGGACTGCCGCAGCAGCTGCAAGCGCCGCAGGCACTGCAGCAGCAGCAGCAGACAGGGGTTGTGATGCAGGCACTGCCGCAGCTGCAGCAGGGCGAGCAGCAGCAGGCGATGCTGCTGCAGCAGGCGCCTATGCTTCAGTTCCCAGCGCAGCTGATGCAGCAGCAGACCCTTAACCTGTCGTCACATGCCCTGCAGCAGTTGCAGCTGCAGCAACAGACGCTGTCGCAGCTGCAGGCGCAAATACAGCAGCAGATGCAGCTGAACGCGCAAGTGCAGGCACAGGCACAAGCACAGGTGCAGGCACAAATGCAGGCCCACGCACTGGTTCCGGGCCAAGCCCCCCCTGTGATGCTTTCAAGTGCCCTCTCATTACCATGTCCTGTCCTTCCTGCCTTCTCCGCTTCACCCTTGGAACAGCCCTATCAGCTGCAGCCCGCGCCTCCTGTAGCAGTAACAGCAGCAGCAGCAGCAGGCATGGGCCACAGCGCACCGAGCAGCATGAATGATCCCCATGCGCCACAGCCATTCCACTCTCGGCCCCCTGCACTCGCCTCCAACACACCCATGCCCCCGCACTTCCCCCAACCGCCACAGCAGCACATCCAGCCGTCCCCTCGCTGGCAGCAGCCCCAGGCGGTGCAGCAGGCGAGAGGCAGCGGTGGCGGGCGCGCGGCGGACAGGGGTGGTGGCGGGGCGGGAGAGTCAGCAACGTACAGCGGGGCAACGCACAGCGGGCCTGCCCGGGAGCAGCAGAGGCCGCTGCGGCGAGCCCAGTCGTACGAGACAGGGTACCGGGCTGTCACGGATGGCGTGGGGCGGAGGGATGCGGGCTGGGCCGATGCTGGCAGCGTGAGAGGCGGAGGAGGAGCGGTAGGGGGAGGGGCGGTTGCGCTGGTGTCGCCGAATAGTGATGGGGTGATGTATGAGCGGGTGCAGGGGCGGGCCGCTGGGTATGCGTATGCCCCTGAGCAGGGTGGGTTCCCGTTGCCCCATGGGCCGGTGAATAGGACAATGGAGCGAGGGGGCATGGGGTGGGGGAGTATGCAGATGCAGGGACAGGGGTTGGGCGGCGCAGCAGGCAGGAGAGGTAGCATGAGTGAGCAGCAGGGAGCGGAAGGGGGTTCATGGGGGTATGGAGTGTGTGGTGAAGAGGGTGGGCCACAGGGGGCGGAGGAGGAGGAGGAGGGGAGTGAGTGGGAGGTGGTGTCAGAAGTGGGGAAGTGGGAGGTGACGGAAGTTGGGAAAGTGGGGAGTGGGGGAAGAAATGGCAGGGGTGAGGCCGTGCATGGGGGCAGTGGTGCCATGAACGAGGGCCAGGACGGACATGTTCGAAGAACTGGCAGCAACAGGAACCGAAGCGGTTCAGACTGGTGCTACATGGCGCAGGCACCGGTGCAGGCAGGGAGCGGAGAGCAGAGGCGGGATGGGGAGGAGACTGGGGCGTATGCACAGGAGGAAGAAGAAGGGTCGGAGCTGTATTCTGATGGTGATGAGGGCAGTGGGGACCTTTACTGTGTGGCCAAGGAGGGGAGGAGGGGTGAAGAGGAGGAGGGTGGGTCAGGTGAGTGGTATGTGGAGGATGAAGATGTTGCTGTGGCTCGGGCGGTAACCGTGCCTGTGGATGGCCAGGGGCAGCAGGGATGGGGTGGTGGGGAAGATGGAGCATGGGAGTGCAGGAGGAAAGGCAGCTACGGCGAGGAGGATGAGGAATAGACGCTGGAAGCCCGGTGGCATGTGTGGGAGAGGGTGTGTTGGTGGTATAGGTCTGGGCATTCCAATAAGGGGCTAGCTAGCACTGGTTCTCCATCTCCAGTGCGTTTCTTCATTACACTGACCATTCGCTGACCGCTAATTTGACTTATGATCAGATCTCTGGCTGGCTGACCATTTCATCGCGTGTTTATTATTTATAGCGACTACTGTTGTGGATAATATATCATATTATTTCACTGTTCGGTTTTCGTGCAATCCAGCTCGAATATTCACCAACTCCTTTTGCGCTTGACTAGGCTGCCCCTCCCTCCTCCGCGCCACCGCCCAAATTCACCACCAACCTCAACATTCAACTTCACTCGGCTCGGCACGGCAGCCACAACCACTCATATTACAAGGACAATTATTTTACCATCACACGATACCAAAAGGAGTGCGTGCATCTTCACGTCCTACCTGTTTCCACCTGCGTGCATGCCAAGTCCTTCCCTCGTACGAATTCCTCCTCGTCGCTTAGTTTCCTTTCGCCACCGCTACCCGCACGCCAAATTAAGCCCACTACTCCTGGCCGCCGGTTCCGCGCGTCGCTGACACGCGCCGTCTCCCCGCGGCCGTGCGCCTCCGTTGCCGTGTCAGCAGCAAATGCCGCCTGTTTCGTTACGATGTGCTCCCGCTGCCGCTGTGGTCGTCGTCCTATGTGTCCTCCTGTCGCCTAGCATGCCCGGGCTTCCCGCTGCTACCCCCGCCATGGCGCAAATCATCGCCGCCTCGCAATGTAACGTGCCTCTTGCGCCCCGCCGCTCTTTCCCGCCAATTCCCCGCGCGTCTGTCCCTACCGATGGCCGCTGCATTGTCCCTCGCGTCGTCGTTCTTAATTGTTTCCTTTCTTCCCGCTCCTCACCCTTCGCGGGCCCCTCTCTCGCTCCGCCACGTGTCTTGCTTTCCCCGCGTGGACCCCCTCCCCGCAACCCCCCGCTCCCGCCCCCGCCGGTCTTCCCCCCGCCGTCCCTCACCCCAACTTCTCCCCTATTCCCCCCGTCGTGCGCGCGCGCTTCCCACTGCGTTCTCCCGCGCGTCCCCGCAGCGGCGGTGTTGGCGGAGTGTGTGACGGCGTGGGGCGCGGAGAGCCTGCCGGCATGGCGCGCGGGGAGCAACTGCAGGGCGGGCGCGCAGTGGCTGCAATGCGACGACGCGGGCATGCTCACCGCCATGTGAGGGGGAGGGGGGAAGAGGGGCAGTTGGGTTAGGGGGAAGGACGGGGAGGGGCGCAGGGGGGAGCGCGAGGTGGAGTAGGAAGGAATAGGGCAAACGCAATCAAGGGCGGGTCTGAGACAGTTGGGGGTGGGGAGGGGAAGACCTGAAAGTAATGCCGAATCCATGCTTGCAACAATACTCAATCTCTCCTTCCGTCTCCCTCGTCTCTCTGCCCTCCTCTGTCTGCCGTCCCTCCTCTTTCCACACCACCCATGGCAGCAAGCTGGGGTGGCTGGGGCCGGGCAAGAAGCTGGCGGGGTCCATTCCCACCGCACTGGGCCTGCTCACCAAGCTCACCTTCCTGTGAGTCATGTCATGAGTCATGAGTCATGGGACGTCTCAAAACATTCCCACCGCACTGGGCCTGCTGCTCAACAAGCTCACCTTCCTGTAAGTCATGTCATGAGTCATGACTCTCCGCACGCCCACTCCACGAGCCTGCGAGGCTTGCTGTGAAGCAGGGGGCCTAGAGAAGGAGGGGTGCTGGTGGGATGATCAGTTGTGGTTGCTGATCCCGGTGTGGCTTGCTTGCTGCATGCCTGTGCCATGTGCAATGTGCCATGATCCATATTCCATGTGCCAGCCGTGTGTCTCTTTGGTGTGTGTGTGGGTGTGTGGGTGTGTGGGTGCGTGGGTGTGTGGGTGTGTGGGTGCGTGGGTGTGTGGGTCACCCCCTAACAACCCTGCTAGGGTACACATCCACACACTCCCTCACGTGCTTCTATTCCAGCCACTCCACTGTCAGTAGGTTCTCTGCCAATCTCAGTGTATGTGACCGCTAATGCTGGCATGATGGCGTGTATGCGTGCATGGATGCATGTGTATGAGTGCACGAGCAGGAGTCTGAGTGCCAATAACCTGGCCAACATAATTCCACCTTCCCTCGGCAACCTCGCTGCCCTCTCCTACCTGTACGCCTCGTCTCGCACACATGCTTGCAGCGCAGCATGCCATCCCATGCCACATGCTGCCAAATGCACTTCACTTCACATAGATCTGTTCCTCGCGCTCTCAAGCTCTCATAGATTTCCGATGCAGTTCCTGCTCCAACCATGCGCACGCCCTCTTTTGTTAAGCCCCCACACTTGTGAAACAAACCGGAACTGCAGATGAGCACAGCAGACTAGAGCCGTGCATGCACAGTGCAGTGCAGTGCAGTGCAGTACACTACACACCCGTTTCCGTGTTTCTCCCCTTCCACTCCTTCCTTCCACCTATCCGTCCTGTGTGTGCCTTCACCAGGGATCTAAGCTACAACCAGCTGGTGGGCTCCATTCCCTCTACCATCTCCAACCTTGCCAACCTGCGTATTCTGTAATACGCTGCACGCTTCCATTCCTGTCCCTCTCCTCCCGTCTTCCTTCCGCCTGTCCTCCTCGCGCCCCGACTCTGTCGGCCCCCTAAGTTCCACTCCTCATGCAACCTCGCATCTCTCTCCCAGAACGAGCCCAAGCATGCTCTGTGGTGGATAGCGAGCCATCGAAGAATGAATGGATTATGGCACACACATGGCAGACAAGGAAAGGCAGCCAAGACAAGGCAGGCCACCATCGAATCTATCCATCCTCATGCTCATGCTCATGCTTCCCCGCCGTGGCGTCACCTCACCTCTCCTCACCACCCGTGCAGGTCGCTGAGTGGCAACAAGTTGGTGGGGTCTATTCCACCAGGCATAGGTGCCCTCACGGCGCTCACAGAGCTGTCAGTACTGCGTAACTGAGCCTCTGCTCTCACGCATACCTGTGCATCCCCCCTTGCTGCTGCTGCCACCACAACTGCCGCTTCTGCTGTTGCCACTGCTGCTGTTGCTGCTTTTGCTGCTGCTGCTGCTGCTGCCGGTGGCACCTGTTACTGCTACCGCAGCCATTGTCATCCATACCACAAGCAGCCAAACTTGAGAGACACCCCCATGGAATGCCTTCCTCAGCTCAGACATTCCCTTCCTCTTTGTCTGTTCCGTTTTGCTCCCTTGGTGTCCGCCTGTGTGCCTCATCCCCCCAGCACGCTGCACAACAATGAGCTGCAGGGGCGCGTACCGCCCGCCATCACCAACCTCTCCAGCCTTGCCACGCTGTGAGCACCACGCCCCTTCAAATCTCCCCCTATGCTCTTCCGTCTCTGCCCTCTTCCAAGTATGCTTCCATGAATCTTCTCTCCGGACCATTGACTTAGCATTTCCTTGTTGTACATTGTTGATCGCTCTTTTTTTCCCTGCCCACCTTTTCCTGCCCACCTTTTCCTGCCCTCCTTTTCCTGCTCACCTTTCTCTGCGTGTCTTCCCCCAGTGCTCTGAATGAAAATAACCTCTGGGGCTCCCTTCCCTCGTCCATTGGTCTTCTCAGTAACCTAACTATGCTGTGAGTGCCATATACACTCTCATTTCATATCACCACACTGCACCACAGACCACCAAATTGATCCCTCCTTTCCCATCCTGTTTTGATTTGCCATTTTCCACTCCCCTATGCTCACCTGTTCCACGATTCACTCTTTCTCCCACTCTCTCCCTCTCACTATTCCGGCCCTCCTTCCTCACCATAATCACGCCTCTTCCCTCCCTCGCTTTGCCTCCTTGTCCCTTCACCCCACCCTGCCACATCCTGGGTGCGCATGCAGAAACATGAGGGATAACGGGCTGACGGGAGCCATTCCCAGCTCCATCTGGACCCTTGCCCACCTTCAGGACCTGTGCGCGCTCTCTCCTTCCCTCCCTCTTCCCCCGTCCATAGCATCCCTATTTCCGCCTTGCTCTGCTTGCTCGGCGTCTCATTGCTGCACTGCACCACTGCCTTACGGTTGCTGCCTTGCGATAACTTCCCTTCCACACATCTCCTTGTTGAGTTGCTTCCTTCTTGCTTTCTCGCAACCATTAGCAGCAGCAGCAGCAGCAGCAAAAGCTGAGGAGCTACCACTTGCTGCTGCACTAGTTTCACGTGCCTGTGCTGCCTGCTCTCCCCTTCTCCCCTGAATTTTTGCCTGTTCTTGCATTCGTGTGTTGGCGTATGCTTGCATGTGTGGGCACGTGCTTGCATGCATTAGGGCCTTTCGTATGCATGTGCATGTGCATGTGTGTGTATGTGTGCGCATGTGTGTGCATGCGCCTGTTTCAATATCCAGCATTCTTAGCGACAACAGTCTCAGTGGTTCCATCCCAGACGCTATCTCCAACCTCACCTCTCTCTCTAAACTGTCCGTACCATACCACTACCTGCTGCTCTCTGCCCATTCCCTCTTCTCTCCTGCCTGCCTCTCTCTCAATTCCAACGCTCACCCAACACTCTCCCGCAGTTCCCAAAAGCCCCTCGATTTCTCCTCACTCTACTCTGCCGGCAGAGCACGACACATCAGCACCACCCCACCCCTCCGCTACCTTATGCTCCCTCCCCTCCCCGCCCTGCTGCTGCTGTGGCAGGCAGCTGGAGGGCAACCGCCTCTCAGGCACCCTGCCGGCATCCCTGGGGGCCATGCCAGCTCTGGCAGAGATGTGAGTGCTGCTTCCTTGCTCCTCAATGCACCACACACAGCACCACACCGCACCGCACCACATCACGCTCCCTGCTAGGCAAGGCAGAGATGTGGTCCCTCACCACACCACATCACGAAAGTGCATCTCCCCTGCTCTAATTGCACATCAAAAGATGTGGGTGTCTTCTGCAGCTGCGTCTACACACACCCCTGCCCTATTTTCACTCTCACTCTCACTCGCTCACCTTCACACCGCTCTCTGTCTGTATGAAGCTGAGAGAGTGAGAGTGTGAATGTGAGCACACCCGCGCCCCTGTGGCCGTTGCTTCCTACTTCCAATCCACCTTGCTGTTCACCAACACAATCCTGCATCGTAAGTCCCAGAATCCCTCACCATTGCTTTTCGCACTGATGCCCTACACACCATCGCTGCCCTCTCACCCCACACAGTTACCTTGGTAGCAACTTACTCTCGGGTCCACTCCCCACCTCCCTCTTTGCGCACAAGAACCTAGTGCACCTGTGCGGTATCTCTCTCTCCCAACCACTGCTGCTCTCTACGCTCCTGTAATTCATCCAGCTCGCTTCCCAAACTCGTGTCTGTTTAGAGGCAGCCACTCACTCACTTGATTCGGCACCTTCACTCACTCGCTCACTCACTCACTCACTCGCTGGGCTAGCACCGTTGCGTGCACCAGTCATCCCACATTTCTCGTCTCTATCCCCCACCCTCCCTCCTCCCCCTTCCTCCCCCCAGCTCACTGCAGGAAAACGAGCTGTCTGGCTCTATACCTACTGTCCTCGCCCCTCTCACTGCTCTCACCCACCTGTCAGTCACGCACCACACAAACCCACGCCCTTCTCTCTTCCTGTCCTTCCCTCTGCTTCTCCTTCCCTCTGCTTCTCCTTCCCTCTGCTTCTCCTTCCCTCTGCTTCTCCTTCCCTCTGCTTCTCCTTCCCTCTGCTTCTCCTTCCCTCTGCTTCTCCTTCCCTCTGCTTCTCCTTCCCTCTGCTTCTCCTTCCCTCTGCTTCTCCTTCCCTCTGCTTCTCCTTCCCTCTGCTTCTCCTTCCCTCTGCTTCTCCTTCCCTCTGCTTCTCCTTCCCTCTGCTTCTCCTTCCCTCTGCTTCTCCTTCCCTCTGCTTCTCCTTCCCTCTGCTTCTCCTTCCCTCTGCTTCTCCTTCCCTCTGCTTCTCCTTCCCTCTGCTTCTCCTTCCCTCTGCTTCTCCTTCCCTCTGCTTCTCCTGCCCTCTGCTTCTCCTTCCCTCTGCTTCTCCTTCCCTCTGCTTCCCCTTCCCTCTGCTTCTCCTTCCCTCTGCTTCTCCTTCCCTCTGCTCATCCTTCTCGTCGGCTTTCACAGAAGCCATTCGTAGCATAAGAGACCAACGCACGTGTGTGTTCGTGTGTCCTGCATTTGGCTGTCTGTGGTTGTGTGAGTGCGAGCGTGAGTGTGAGTGTGAGCTTTTGTATTCGTGTGTGTCTGCATGCATGTGCACGTGTGTGTGTGTGTGTGTTTGTGTGTGTGTGTGTGTGTGTGTGTGTGTGTGTCCGCATGTGTGTGCACGCATCATTCTGTGTGTGTGCAGTGAGTTGAGCAACAACCAGATCACAGGCCCTCTACCAATCGACATCACCACCCTCTCTGCCCTCGCTCACTTGTACTGCCTCCCCCTCACTCTCCCCCCTTCCGACTCCCTTCGTCCCTTCATCTTCCTCCATCTTCTTCCCCCGACATCTCCGTCTACTCGCTTAATGACCCTTCCCCCTCCCTTTCCACTGCTGCCAGTCCGCCCACTCCTTCAAGCTCCTCTGCTCTGCTTCTCTGTTGCTTACAGTGCTGTTCACCCATGCCACTGACCCCTGACCAACGGCACTCTCACGCACTCTCCTGTGATGACACAGATCTTAACGGCCCCATACTAATGTCATACCCGCCCTGCCCTGGTATCTGTGCACGTGCGTGCGTGCGTGCGTGCATGCATGCAGGGATCTGAGTTATAACGTCCTCACAGGCGCTATCCCTCTGGGCATCGCCAACCTCACTGCTCTCGCCTTCCTGTCAGCCCCCCTTCACACACACACACACTCTCTCTCTCTCTCTTTCTCTCGAACCGTCTCCCTCTCCTTCCTCCTGCATTCGCTCCGCATGCCAACCTTTTCCCGCTCACTTCCCTCTCCTCGTCTGTCACCTCATCTCTTTCTGTCTCATTCGTTCTCCAAGATTGCTGATTCCTGTGTTCACGACCTTGTCAACTGTCTGCTGCTGCTGCTGCTGCTGCTGCTGCTGCTGCTGCTGCTGCTGCCACCCATGCGCCTCCATGTCCTGTCACCTGCACGCCCCATAATCTGCTTCTAGAATTGTTAACCTGCCAGCTCTTCACTCTCAGCTCTGCTCCACACTGGTCGTGCTGCCTGCCTGCAGGTCATTGCAGTGGAACACTCTCTTCGGCCCCATTCCCTCCCCACTCTCGCAACTCTCCACACTCACAGACCTGTGCGTGCACACACTATACCATGCCTTCCCTCCCATCCCCTCACTCCACCACACTGCCCTCGCTCGCCCCATGCTGCCCATCCCACTCACTCGCTGCTTTCTGCTTCCCTCCCTACCATCCCTCCGTCCCCCCCTTCCTACCCACCCTCCCTCCCTGCCCTCCGTGTTTGCATGCAAGCCTCCTCATCTTGCTGTTCCTCCGCCCTGGCCTCCAATCCGTCTCTTCTCAGCGTGCCTACCCTCTCTGCTCTCGCCTTTTCAAGGCAGCTGAAAAGGGGTTCTCCCAAAATCTCTGCTCTACTCGTCCTCCTCCGTGCCCCCACCAGGCGTCTGAGCAACAACCTGCTAAGCGGCTCCATCCCAGAGTCCATCACTGCTCTCGCCAGCCTCGTCTACGTGTCAGTCCCAACTCAACCGCCCCCAACCGCTTCCCATACCAACCCCCCCCCCACCCCAGCACTGGCAAGCTGTAAACCCCATACATCATTCTGCCAACCCTGTCGTACATCCAACTCCCCCTCCCATGTCTTGATTGTTGTCTTTCTCCACCCGTCCCTCTCCCCCCGCCCTGCCTTCTCCCCCCCACCTCCCCCTCACCTTCTCCCCACCTCCCCCTCACCTTCCCCCCACCTCCCCCTCACCTTTCCCCCCACCTCCTCCTCACAACCCCTCCCCCACCTCCCCCTGCCCCAGCATGCTGGGCTACAACATTCTGTCGGGCAGCATTCCTGATGGCATAGGCCAGCTCACGGCGCTCTCACTGCTGTACGTGCCCGGGACACAGGGACAAAGGGGCACAAGAAGGAGAGGCGGACGGTGAGGTGCGGTGAGATGAGGTGGCACGTCTTAGTAGGGTTACAGATGGGGTAGACTTTTGAGACGTCTCAAAAGACGTCTTAGTAGGGTTACAGATGGGGCAGACTTTTGAGACGTCCCAAAAGACGTCCTAGTAGGGTAACAGATGGGGTAGACTTGGAATGGAACGCGATGGTGGGAGGGAGGGAGGGTCACGCAGAATGAGTGGTGTATATAAAATATTTCTGAGAGTGGTATGTGGGTAGCGAGATTTGTGCACACAGATATTCCTCTCTCTGTGAGGCATGTCAAGCTTAGCCCCTCCTCCCTTTTCTCCGTGCTGGTGCTCCCCTGTTCGTCTCCCTATCCTCACCCTATCCTCTCCCTATTCCTCTTCCTATTCCTCTCTCTGTTCCTATCCCAGCTCTCTGCGGCACAACCAGCTTACGGGTCGCATCCCCCCATCCATAGGCCAGCTCACAACACTCTCAGAACTGTGAGTGCTCCTCTCTCTCACCGTGTGTGCCGCCACTCAGTTGAAAGAGGTGCAAGGGATCCTCATTTGACTCGCCACGCTATTACAGCTCTCTGACTCCCTTCTAGCTCACTCCTGCCCCGCACCCCCCTCCTCTTCCATGATCCCTTCGCCCCTTGCCTTGCCTTCCCATGGCCTGAACGCCTTTGGCACTTGACGTCTGCACCCGCACTCTCTCTCTCTCTCAAGCGGTCCGTGTATTAGATCCGAGCAAGGAGCAGACATGCACAAGGTTATAAGAAGCAATGTACCTCAGCCTCTAAAAACCCCCATATCCTACCTACTCTCGTTCACCCTCTAAGGCAGCTCCAATGCACACTCAAGGTTGTTGCTGTGCAGCAACCACCACCTGCCATGACTGCATCCATAACACAATGACTATGTGCCTACCTGACAATGCATGCCATGTCGTGCCATCTCATGCCATGCCATGCCATTGCGTGCAATCAATCTGCACCATGCAGGTACCTGGACTCCAACCTCCTCTCTGATTCCATCCCTAACTCCATCACCAACCTCTCGCTCCTCTCTGCCCTGTCAGCCCCTCCCCACACGCATCCTCCTCGGCACTACTCTCTCACTTAACCACTTGGCACCGCACTCTAACACAGTTCTGCTGCCTTGTGAGCTGCATTGTGCTGCCATGTGCTGCCCTTGTGCCCCTCTCGCGTTCACTCAGTCTCACATCGCCAGACTCCCCCTCCTCTTCCTCAACCCATCTTTCCCCCCTTCCCCCCGGTTCCTCCTCCTCCTCCTTTTCGCCTCCTCCTCCTCGCCTGCTCCGCGCCCATCAGGTATCTGCACAACAACCTACTGTCGGGCCCCATCCCCCCCGCCATTGGCAATATTCGCCCCCTCATAGACCTGTGAGCCCATGTTTTGTTTTTCACTCCTCCACATGCCCCGGCCTGCCCCACATGCCCCTGCCTGCCCCACATGCCCCTGCTTGCCCCACATGCCCCTGCTTGCCCCACATGCCCCTGCTTGCCCCACATGCCCCTGCCTGCCCAGCACGCCCATGCCCCACATGCAACAAGCCCTGGCGTCATCCATACAGAGAAGCAGCCGCACACGTCCGCACACCACATCTTTCACCACCACACACGCACATCAACCCCCCCGGCACTGCACACCGCTACACCCCTCCTCCCGCTATCTCTCCACTCCGCCCCCCCACCTCCCTCTCCTTCCTGTGGCGGCGCAGGTCGCTGAGCGACAACCAACTGAACGGGTCCATCCCGGACTCTATCAGCAACCTCTCCAAACTCGTGCTGCTGTACGCCCCTGCTGTTTGCAACCTGCCTTGCCACACTGCCTCACCTCCCCACACCCCACCATCCTACCTCCCCCCTACCCCACCATCCTACCTCCCCACTACCCCACCATCCTACCTCCCCACACCCCACCATCCTACCTCCCCACTACCCCACCATCCTACCTCCCCACTACCCCACCATCCTACCTCCCCACTACCCCACCATCCTACCTCCCCACTACCCCACCATCCTACCTTCCTGCCAACCTGTAACCGAGCAACCACTGCTGGGCACTTACTTGTGCTGCTGCTGCTGCTGCTGCTGTCAGGTTCACTCGATCTGATCACCTGCGTGCTGTGCAACATGCTGTATCTGCCATGCATGTATGCATGCATGAGCGATGAGCAGCTCTTGCCCCATCCAAAGCACGTCCGGATTCCAGCCTGCCTGCCTGGCCTTGCCTCAACGGAAACCCCACCAACCCTCGCATTATTTTCTTCTGACTACCTCCGCATGCCATCCACGTGCCACCCGCGTGCCTTGCACATGCCCGTGCATGCCCATGCCCGTGCATGCCCATGCATGCCCGTGCCCGTGCATGCCCATGCATGCCCATGCCCGTGCATGCCCATGCATGCCCATGCCCGTGCATGCGTGCGTGCAATCCCACCAGCTACATGGCCAACAACTCTCTCTCCGGCTCCCTGCCCACATCCCTCAAGATGCTGCCGCACCTCCTCGAACTGTCAGTGCACCCTCCCCCCTCCCCTCTCCCCGCCCACCCACCACACCTGCATGTCCTCTGCACGGTTCCTTCTACTCACAAGTGAATCCACCTCAAGTGCTCTTTGCCGCTCCATTTCTCGCTGCGATTCAACTTCGTCCTATTCCTATGCAACCTCAGCCTGCTTTCTCTCTTTGCACTTCCCCTCATGTCCACCTCCTTGCAAACCCTCGTGCCCATTCCTCCCATCCATTCATCTCCTTCTCGCTTCTCCCCTCCCCTTGCTCCCTCTATGCTCCTCTCCTGACACCCATTCCTGCTCCTGCTCCTGCTCCCATTCATGGCATGGCATGGAACTGCAGGGAGCTGCATCACAACAACCTCTCGGGCATCCTACCCAACGCCCTGGGAGGCCTTGCCAACCTGGTAGTGCTGTGAGCCCCCCTCCCCGCCTGCTCCACTCCCCATTGCTGCGCACGCCTCTCCACTACCCCTCCCCTCCCCCTCCACCCTTGTGCTGCCTCCCTCCCTATGCTTCCTTACATGCCCGTCCTTTCCCCGTCACTCGTCCCATTTCCCCTTGCCAATCACCAATCCTTCCATCACCTGTTGCATCCTCTCTCTCATTCCCTATACCTCCCACCACGTGGAATTATTCTGAGCTGACTGCTCCCCTACCTGTTCCACCATTCGCCCATCTCCTGCCTTCACACTCTCCATGCCACCTCGCACCCACCCATCAACTGTGACCCGGTTCTCCATGCAGCGACCTGGGGAACAACGAGCTGTCGGGCACCATCCCATCCGTTCTCGGCCAACTCACTGACCTCATGAACATGTGACTCCGCTCCTCCCACACTCCATTCCGCCTGTCTCCCGCATGCTTTCTCCCAGCCCTTTGCTCTCCCGCCCCCTTCAACTCCCAACCCCAATAGTCTCCCACCCCCTTATTCTCCCGCTCAATTATTCTCCCAGAACCTTAGTACGTCTCCCCCTTCGTAGCCCACTGCATGATTCGGCCCCACACTCGTTTCACCCATCACTGTCGTCTCATCCGACCCTAGTGCACCCACGCATTGCCATCCCTCCCCCTTTCACTTCTCACTCCCACCACCCCTCCCCAATGCCTCATTCTCTCTCTCTCTTACCCTTGCCCCCACGGCAGCTCACTGCATGTGAACCATCTGACCGGCCCTCTCTCCCCCGAGCTCTTCAGGCTTCCAAAGCTGCAACGCCTGTAACCTCCTCTCCCCTCTCCCATCTCTCCTATCCCCTCTCCCGTCTGCCATCTCTCCTCTCTCCTCTCCCCTCTCCCCAATCCCCGCTCCCATCTCACACCACCCCTTTCACCCACATGCTCTCTTCTCCTACTTCCTGACTTTTTTTCGCACTGCTCAAACTTTTCCCCGCCCACTACTCTGCCCTCGTCTCCTCTCACCCTCATCCTCTCCCTCCCCCATCTTCCCCCTCTCCTCGCCCCATGTGAACCCATCACTCACTCTCCGCCCCCCCTGCCCACCACCATGCACCCCCCAACCCCAACGCATGAGGCACAGGGATCTGATCTGAGCCACAACATCCTCTCTGCTCGCTGCATGCGAACCCCATGTGATATAAGTGTAGTTTTGAGACGTCTCCGAAAGAACCCCATGCCTCCCTCTCCTCTCCCCCCCTGCCTGCCACCATGCACCCCCAACCCCAACGCACGGCACGGAACAGGGACCTGAGTCACAACATCCTTTCGGACTCCATTCCAGACACCATCAGCAACCTAGTCAGCCTCGAGTACCTGTAAGCACCGCACCGCACCGCATTCTTGTGAGCAAACCTCAAGAATCTGGACTAATATGCGTGACCGACCGCCCCCCACTTAGCCTTTCACTGCATCAGCATTCAGCAGCCTCGTCAGCCTTATGTATCTGCTCGCACACGCACTCCCTCCTTCGTGTCAGAGTGAGCTCTCTGCTCGCTCTCACTCCACCTCGCCCGCTACCACTGCACCTGCTGCAAGCTGCGAGCATGGCATGTGACTGAGTCTATGAGATTCCCTGACCGCCCTTTGTTCCAGCCCGCCTCTTCTTCCCTTCCCATGCGTGCACTTTTTGTCAGGGATCTATCAGCCAATGGGCTGTCAGGCAGCATTCCATCGGGGCTGGGAAAGCTCAATCTGCTTGAGAACATGTGAGAGCACACATGCTCGACTCGACCCTCTCATGCTCCACCCTCTCATGCTCCACCCTCTCATGCTCGTGCCAGGGTGCGGGCTCCTGAACACGAGTGCTGCTCATTGCCCATCCATCACATCACTAATCCACGCCACACCATGCCCGGGTCAAGAGCTGCTCTCCTCCTCCCCCCCCCTTTTCGTTTCTCCACCCGCTCTCATGCTCACTGCCATATGGCCCCACTGCCATATGACCCCACTGCCATATGGCCCCACTGCCATATGACCCCACTGCCATATGACCCCACTGCCATATGACCTCACTGCCATATGACCCCACTGCCATATGACCCCACTGCCATATGACCCCACTGCCATATGACCCCACTGCCATATGACCCCACTGCCATGTGACCCCACTGCCTGCCGGTCCTGCCATCCTCTCACGCCTGTCTCCCCCCTGTGTGCCCCTCAGTGACCTGCGCACCAACAACATAGAGGCATCCATACCAGCCACGCTCGGCAATCTCATGAACCTGCAAGTGCTGTGAGTGTGCCGCTGCCCTGCCAAGCCGCCCGCCACATCATGGTACTCTCGAACGGTCCGTCGTATTAATATCACCGAAGTACACACAGGGTAAGGCAACAAACCACACACAACAAAGCTACCGCAGCAATCTCCTACCCTAACCCAACTACAGCCGCCCCAACTCTCTCTCTCTCTCTCTCTCTCTCTCTCTCTCTCTCTCTCTCTCTCTCTCTCTCTCTCTCTCTCTCTCTCTCTCTCTCTCTCTCTCTCTCTCTCTCTCTCTCACCCATCCCATGCTTTTTCGAGTCGACACCGCAGCGACGCAGGCTCAATCCCATCCCACTTCATTGAACACCTTCACACCGCATCACACCCCTGGCAGGGAGGTGGATCAGCCCGAGGTGTACTGTCTATCAGGCGACGTGTACTGTGAGGTGCCTCAGAACGACTCCTCTCTCTTCTGCCGCAAGTGCTCCTCCTTCTGCACCTCCTGCCTCCCCGGCATGAAACCCGGTATGCTGCCCCACCCCTTCTTCTGCCCTCGTGCTGTATAGTGTGCTTTTGCAAACACGTTCTCACGAGAGTCACTTGCTTCTCCTTATTGAGAATCACAGACCTCTTGCCTCTCCTTCTCCCTCCCCCTCTCCCTCCCTATCCGTCCTGAACAGAGTTCCCTTCCACCTGTTCAGGCAACACTCTCTCAGTCATTCACCATCGCTCTTTCTCCTCCTATTCCTCCCTTCTCCGCACTCCCCCTGTCTCTCTCCCACCACTCAGCTCGAAATGAGAGCTCACCCACCCCCTCTCAGGCATCATCAGCACCACCAGCACCAGCACCACCACCACCACCAGCATCCTCTAAGCAGATGTCTGGCGGGGTGATAGCAGGGATTGTGATTCTCTCTGTCACAGCTTTCTGCTTGCTGCTGGCACTCGCTCTGATGTATAGCAGACGGCACAAGTCCTCAGCCCATGGTGAATCCCCCTTTCACCTCTCACCTTTCACCTCTCACCTTTCACCTCTCACCTTTCACCTCTCACCTCTCACCTCTCACCTCTCACCTCTCACCTTTCACCTCTCACGTCTCACCTCTCACGTCTCACCTCTCACCATGCACACGCTGCTGCCAGCGTACCACTTACCCCGCGACACCACTCATGCGCAATGCCCTGTCTGTCGATGCCCCACCAACTAGAACACCCTCCAATTAACCGCTTCCCTGCATGCCTACTACCCTGCTGCACAGGTTCCTCTCAATTCGTACTGATTCCTCCCAGATGCCTCGCTTCCAGCTTCCTTCCAGCTTCCATCCAGCTTCCATTCAGCTTCCTATACCTGCCTTCAATCCGTGCCCACTCCCCTTCCATGTGCCTCAGAAACGGACCCCTTGTCAGCGACTCCTCCCGAGGTCACACCTGTGGCCGCAGATAGGCGCGAGTACGAAAGAATGACCGACAACTCCCGGAAAATCCAGTGTATGTACCTTCCGTATGATCCGACAGAAATCCGTATGACCGGAAAGCTTCTTCTCAATACCTTGTGTCTCGTTTCCCTCTCTCTCCTCTTCACATTCCTGTCTCTAATGCTCACATTGACACTCTCACTCATGCCTTTTTTTCCCTGTGCGTTATCGCTGACCTCTGTCTGCGCCTTCTCCTCCCAGGTCGATCAGCGGAGCCCATGTAACAGCTCCACGCAATATCTGCTGCCACAAACGACTGGGAGAGGGGAGATCCCGCGTAGAGGAAGATCCGATCCGAGCCTTTCTGGTCGAAACAATCTTTCGGATTAGGCTGCAGTGGTGCTGAGCTGAGCGTGTCAGTACGAGGGTGTTAAGGTTTGTTTGCTAAGGGGGCATATACTGGTACCATAGCAGCATAAGACTGACAGGAGAATGCCAGCTAATCCTTATTGCTTGTTGGCTTCAAATTGATTGGTCCTAATTGCTTGGTGCAGATCAGGGCCACTGCAAGGCAGCATTAGCATTTGCCATGTGGAGTGGAGTACAATTGCAGTCTGGTTTTCCCTGTCTTGTAGAACCAGAGAGAGCACACACGAAACCCCTAACCACCTATTCACACTTTCGCTCTACCGGTATGTGCCAGCTAGATATACGTAAAGCCCACACAAAGTACGGTACTACCAGGCAGGGACATCGCAGGAAACACTACCAAAAAAAAAGGGAGGGGGGGGGGGGGTGGGGAGGGGGAGGAAGAGGTGTTACTGGTACTACCAGGGCCACGACCATGGTGTAACATGGTGTTCACGATCATGAGTCATGGGCAGCAGCATGGCGCGAGATGGAGAGAGAGGAGATGGTCTGCCAGATGTTGCCCCCGTGCTGCCGCCCCTCTGCCCTCCCCCCATGCTCCAGCCCTGCACCGTACAATCCATCCATATGCTCCTCGATTTGCCCCATCCCACCCCCCCCTTGCCCCTGCCCATGCCCATGACCATTCCAAATACCGTCGCCAACTCCGCTGCCTAAGCTGCCCTCCTGACAGCTCTCTGCTCGTTGCAAATGTGCTGGGACAGGCGGTGGTGTTATTAGTGACACACTCTCCTCTAATGAAACCGGCAATTGTGCAGTGGACATTGGGTGTTCCCTCATGCTGCACCCTGACCCTCCCCCTTCCATGCCTGCCACTGCTAGCCCTGCGGCCCCTATCAAGGCTGCTGATGCAGCAGCATTTTCAGGACCAGCTCCCGACCCTGGCTCGCCAGGAAAGACCCCACCAGCAACAGCACTGCCAGCAGCGCTTATTTCGCCAACACCCGTGCCCTGCACAGCAGCACCGGGCACAGCATCAGTGCCCCAACCCTGCTCCCTCACAGGCAGCATGGCCCCAGACGCCACTCCAAACACCCCTTCACCCACCGCCACCACTCCTCCCGCCCCCCCACCACCAGCTAACCCCCCCACGCCCACACCACCATTCCCCATGCTCCCATACAATCCGCTCCCAAACATCGCCCCCCTGCCGCTTCCGCCAAAGCTGGCACCCCCTTTAACAGACAGATGGACCGAAGGCTCGAGGCTGGAGATGGAATGGATGGAGGAGTCGGGCGAGGGTACATGGCTGCCATGGCTGCCTGCTCGCATGGACCCCCCTGCGCTGGGCCGTCGGAACGACAGCGACTGCCCTGCTCCAAACGCCACCCGGCCCGTCGTGGCTGCACTGCCACTGCCAGTAGCACCGGCTGAACCAGCAGCAGAACCAGCGGTAGCAGCAGCAGCAGCGGACGATGGGCCCAGGGTAGAGCCAGCAGCAGTGGGAGCCGCAGCGTGGTGGTTGGCGCGGGCGGCGCGAGCAAGGCGGCGGTCGTAGCTCTCGGGCCAGGCCACTTGCAGGAGAGGCGGGTGCGGTGCGCCCGAGGCGGATGGGGAGGCGTCAGCAGGGCCAGGGAGAGTCACCCACACGCCTGGGCAGGGCTCGGGGGTGAGAGGCGCGGGGTCCTCCTTCCGTGGCGCCTGGTGGGAGTGCGTTGTTGCCATGGGCTGGATACCCGATAGGTCCTGCATTCGGGAGGGTTGGTGGATGGGCGGGTTGGTGGAGGGACGGCCGGGCGGGATTCAGGCAGAGGGGAAGGGACGACGAGGGTGCGAGTGAGACGGGTGCAGGGCAGTGCGAGGAGAAAGTGGGGTAAGATGCAAGCGAGGAACCAGTTAGGGGATTAGGAATAGAGACGGGAAACAGGGTGAAGCTGATGGTTTTCGGTGAGGGAGGGTTACCGATCGCAGAGGGGGTTCGGATGTGGAGAGGTAGCGCGCGTAGCGGCGGCGGTAGACGCAGATGGCGGTGAGGGAGACGAAGAGCACGAGCAGGATGCACAGCAGCCCGCCGAACACGTACCCTACCGCCGCGCCGTTCCCGCCCGTGCACCCCGTCTGCCCGCGGAGAGACAATACGAAACGCGGAATAGTTACTTCTATTACTAGGGCGGAAAATGATAGCCTCAGGGATGGGGTATGTCACGCGGGGACGGGAGAACAGGCATGAAAAACGTTTTCGAGATTTGGGCGATTCGACTTGCTGAGAGACATTGGCTTCTGGGAAATCTCACCGATGCTGTGTACGAGAATTGCTTGTCGCAACCCTGCGACCCCGGCGGCGACGGCGACGACGGCGCGCCTCCCCGGCCCGGCGACGAGGCGGAGGAGGTACCACCGGGGGGTGGGGGAGGAGATGCTGGGGATGCTGCGGCTGGCTGCCGCAGCGGCGCCGCATTTGTTCCCATTAAGGCGGCGACTGATGCGGGGCTCTCTGCGTGTGCGGCATGTGTCCAAGCGGATCGCGAGGGTGACGGCATGGGCGGGAGGGCTGCTTGGGTGTAGACGAACGTGTGGAGGTCGCGATGGGGAGTGATAATAGCGGGGGAGTTGAAGGATGCTGAAGGGAGATACACTAAAGTATTGGGCGTGGGTAGAAGGGGCGGAAGCGTAGCGACACCATGCGACTCGTAGAAACGATGGTGATACGTGTACGGGGAGTAGGACGATGGGGAATCCCCCCGCAAACCGCGGCCCATTTTGCGGGGTTGCTCTTGCTAAGAGCAGGGAATATGCGTCATGCAGGGAAGCGTTGGTGGCGCCTGCATTAGCACGCTGTACTGTACGGTGTACAGAAACCATGAACTTCGGGGGCACTGTACCGTACCGTGCCACCGCATTCACCCACAAGCGAAATCTTTAGGGCGCACTGTTCCGTACCGTGAGAACTGTGTCGTGCTGTTTCGTCTACTGTTGAGGTACCCGAAGTGGTAACCACGTCGGAAAACGATTTGCGAGTGACGACTTTCGCCAGCACGACGCGGGGTGCTAAACCCAACCCAACCCATCATCATTCTGTACATCGTATTCCAAGACTCGCACATGGGAGTCGCTGGCTCGACTTGACTAGCCACACTCCCTCCGTCTGGTCTGCACTCGGGGCTTGGCTCGATCCTGAAAATTGGGATGGCTTTTGTGGTGGTGACTTGTGTGAGGTTCGACAACTCCAGACCCGCCACAAGATGCGTGTGCGGAGAAGTCTGCTCTCCGTGCATGTGGGAATGTGCATAACATAGTTTTCCAGTTCTTACGAAGCCCCGAATGACTGTATTTTACTTGACATAGCACAGGCAACACTCATTGCAGCGGATATCACTCGTTCTGTTGGAATAACAAAAAGTACTATAAACGTTCCAACATGATTCTAGTATATCTATTCGAGGAAAATCACACTGAAACCATCTACTTCTCCCCTCATAATGCACGTCATAGTCAATTAACACGAACTACATGGTTTGTATGGGCTTCTCACTCAAGCGTACTGCTTGATGTACCACGTTAATAGAGCAGCTTTTGTCCTCACCTTTGGCCCACTTGATCCCTGCCAAGGTGCCATTCCCCAACAGGGCAGCTTGGTAGGCAAATGAGCTTACATACTCACCAGCCTCTATGATGGCATGTGCTCGACTCAGCAGGAAAAACTCCCCCATTGTGGGCAGGTTCCATGCCAGCTTCCCCTGGGGGATAGCTGTAGAACAACGATCATCATTGTCACAACCACT